CATATACAGTGTCTTGAGAAAGTATTCATACCCCTTGAAATTTTCCACATTTTGTCATGTTAAAACCAAAAACTTAAATAACATATTTTATTGGGATTGTATGTGATAGACCAGGGGTGGGCAAACTTTTTGACTTGAGGGCCGCAATGGGTTCATATATTGGACCCGGGGGCCGGACCAAGAGTAGATGAATGATGTGTATGTGTCATACATAGTAAGTATAGTAATATTCCCCCATAGTAAGCATAGTAATTAATCCCCCATATAGTAATTCATCCCCCATAGTAATTCATCCCCCATATAGTAATTCATCCCCCATAGTAATTCATCCCCCATATAGTAATTTATCCCCCCTATAGTAATTCATTCCCCATATTATTTCATCCCCCATAGTACTATTCCCCCCCAAGTAGTAAGCCAAGTCCCCCCTGTGTCAATTCACTTACCTTTGCTCCGCGCGTTCCTCTCGCCGTGTTCCCGCAACGTTCTGGTCTTCAGGGCGGACTGTGAGAGGAGCCTAGCTCCCCTCACGTTCGTCATGCTGCCCCGCCTACACACATCCTGACGCTCCGCGGGCCGGATTAAAAGGTCCGCCGGGCCGTATACGGCCCGCGGGCCGTAGTTTGCCCATTGCTGTGATAGACCAACACAAAGTGGCACATAATTGTGAAGTAGAAGGAAAATGATAAATGCTTTTCAAATTTTTTTACAAATACAGTAAATATCTAAAAAAAATGGCCTGCATTTGTATTTAGCCCCCTTTACTCTGAATACCCCTAACTAAATTCTAGTGGAACCAGTTGCCTTCAGAAGTCACCTAATTAGTAAATAGAGTCCACCTGTGTGTAATGTAATCTCAGTATAAATCCAACAGTTCTGTGAAGCCCTCAGAGGTTGGTTAGAGAACATTAGTGAACAAAAAGCATCATGAAGGTCAAGGAACGCAACAGACAGATCAGGGATACAGTTATGGATAAGTTTAAAGCAGGGTTAGGTTATAAAAAAATATCCCAAGCTTTGAACATCTCAGGGAGTTGTTTAAACATCCATTATCTGAAAATGGAAAGAGTATGGCACAACTACAAACTTACCGAGACATGGCCGTCCACCTAAACTGACAGGCTGGGCATGGAGAGCATTATTCAGAGAAGCAGCCAAGAGGCCCTTGGTAACTCTGGAGGAGCTGTACAGATCCCCAGCTCAGGTGGGAGAATCTGTCCACAGGACAACTATTAGTTGTGCACTCCACAAATCTGGCCTTTATGGAAGAGTGGCAAGAAGAAAGCCATTGTTGAAAGAAAGCCATAAAAAGTCCCATTTGCAGTTTGTGAGAAGCCATGTGGAGGACACTGCAAACATGTGGAAGAAGGTGCTCTGGTCAGATGAGACCAAATTTGAACTTTTTGGCCTAAAAGCAAAATGCTATCTGTGGTGGAAAATTAACACTGCACATGACCTTGAACACACCATCCCCACCGTGAAACATGGTGGTGGATGCATCATGTTGTGGGCATGCTTTTCTTTAGCAAGGACAGGGAAGCTGTTCAGATTTGATGGGGAGATGGATGGAGCCAAATTCAGGGCAATCTTAGAATAAAACCTGTTAGAGTCTGCAAAAAACTTGAAACTGGGGCGGAGGTTCACCTTCGAGCAGGTCAACGACACTAAACATACAGCCAGAGTTACAGAGCTGTTCAGAGACGCTCTCTATCCAATCTGACAGAGCTTGAGCTCTATTGCAAAGAAGAATGGGCAAAAATGTCACTCTCTAGATGTGCAAAGCTGGTGGAGACATCCCCAAAAAGACTTGTAGGTGTAATTGCAGTGAAAGGTGGTTCTACAAAGTATTGTCTCAGGGGGGCTGAATACAAATGTACTTTTCACATATTTATTTGTAAAAAATGTTAAAAACCATTTATCATTTTCTTTCCACTTCACAATTATGTGCCACTTTGTGTTGGTCTATCACATAAAATCCCAATAAAATACATTTACATTTTTGGTTGTAGCATGACAAAATGTGGAAATTTTCAAGCTGTATGATTATTTTTACAAGGCACTGTAACAGAGAACACCTGCTAAATTACATAGCTACATAGTTAGTCTGGCTGAAAAAAGACAAAAGTCCATCCAGTTCAACCATAAAAAAAAAAAAAAGTTATTATCCTATACCCAGAGTTGATCCAGAGGAAGGCAAATGACGTTATTCCACTGCACAATTTGGTGTCATCTGCAAGGACTAAAATGGTATTTTTAATCCCAGGCCCTATGTTGTTTATAAATATATTAAAAAGTAGGGGGCCCAACATTGAACCTTAGGGTACATCACTGATGACCCCAGACCATTCAGAGTATGAATCATTAACCACTACTCTCTGAATACGATCTTTTAGACAGTTTTCTGTCCATTTACATACAGATTTTTCCAAGCCTGTAGACTTTACCTTACACATTAGCTGCGTGTGGGGAACTGTGTGTGGGGAACTGTGTGTGGGGAACTGTGTGTGGGGAACTGTGTCAAACGCTCAAAATACAAGTATGCCACGTCCACCGCCACCCCTCTGTCCAAGGTTTGTCTCTTCATAAAAAGAAATCAGATTTGTTTGACAACTTCTGTCTTTCATGAATCCATGCTGTCTGTTGCTTTAAAATATTTTTTTTCCAGCAAGAACTCATCTATAGTATGTGGTCTTTTATTAAACTCTCCAGTATCTTCCCAACTATAGAAGTTAAACTAACAGGTCTATAATTACTTGGTAAAGATTTTGACCCCTTCTTAAATATTGGCACCACATTGGCCTTACGCCAATCCAGTGGTACTATGCCAGTCATTAAAGAGTCCCTAAAAATTAGAAACAATGGCTTCGAAATGACTGAGCTCAATTCTTTAAGGACCCCTGGGTGTATGCTATCCGGTCCAGGTGCTTTATTCACCTTTATACAGTCTAAATATTTTTGGATCATATCAATTGTGAGCCAATGTGGATCATCTGGAGCTGTGTCAATACCATGCCCATTGTGAACAAGAGTTCCCCATGCTCCTTTGTATACGCAGAGCTGAAGAAGGTATTTAATAAATTTGCCTTCTCTTTGTCCCCAGTCACCCACTCTAGATTATTTTGTAAAGGGCCTACATGCTCGGACCTTTTTACTATTAATATATTTTAAGAATTTTTCGGGGTTTGTCCTGCTGTATTTTGCAATCTGTCGTTCGTTTTCAATTTTTGTAGACTTTATTTCCTTTTTGCATATTCTGTTATATGCTTTGTAATGTTTAAACAATGATAGCGTTCCTTAATTTTTATATTTAATAAAATATCTTTTCCTATTATCTATAGCTTTCTTAACTTTGGCCATAAGACACCTAGGTTTGATTGACTACATAGGTCTTTTAAACTTGTTGCCCATGGGAATATATTTTGCAGCGTGTTCACATACAGTCTTTTTGAAGAACTGGTTTTTGCATCCATTTTAGGAGCAATTACCCCTTGTTGGTACAGAAAAATTGTTGAAGTTCCGCTGAGCACATTATAGAAAAAAAAACAAACAAACAGCTTGAGCATATGAAGCATTGTGTAATATATACGTAGCAGCCAAAATACCATACATTGGAAACTGTTGCTTTTGTTTCATCTCTTCCGCTGTACAGAGTACATGGGGAAAGTTAGTAAACCATTGCTAACTTATAACAGCAATGCTAACTAGCAATAATATCTGCACTGAAATAGAGAATCAAATTCTTTGAAACTTGCCCAGAGTTACAAACTGCTGACACTGATTGATGGGTTGGTGTCACTGGCAAATTATGGCCTTTCTTAATTTCAGTAGCCAACTCAGGTGCTCTTACCATAAACCTAAATTGAAGTCCTAGCTTGTGTCAATGATGCTGGGAATATAAGGCCCTTTTCACATGAGCGGACCGATGGGGTCCGCCTGTCCGTTTTTCAGGCAAACCCGATCGGTCTATGCATAGACTTCTATGGACTGGCGGGTGTCAGCGGACTATTGCCCGCTGACAATCGGATCCAATCCTGTATGCCAAAAACAGACAGAAGGGGATCATCCAGCGGATCAGATCGGATGACAATTGGGTGGAAATGGACAGGTGGTCCGTTTCCATCTGACTGTTCCATTTAAATCAACGGGCTATGTCTGTATCTGCTCTGCAGCAGTAGAGTGGACAGAGACCTGTCATCTGCCTGCTCAGCGAGGATCAGCGGAAAGATCCCCCGCTGAGCAGACGGATCACGCCGATGGATCCGCCCTATCTGAAAGGAGCCTTAAGTGCTATTTGAGACAACATGTAAATAATTGTAGCGCTTTCCCCAGAGAAGGCGCTTAGTTTGATGGGTCCTGTGTTCTGCCACAACTACTTAAACTGCTTGGTCCCCAAATATATAAAATGAAGGAAGAAATAGTATGTTTCGGGAATGTGGCTACAATGGTTCAGCTTCAAGTTACTAATTGTATTGCACATTTCAGGGTTTCATATGCTGTCTGTATGGAAACACACTGTGTATCTATTGATGTACCAAGTTTATCTACATTCCATTCAAATGTCACCTTGTTGTAAAAGTTGTTATACTATTTCTTCAAAATAAAGAATTAAAAAAACCCCAAAAAAACTGCTTGGTCCACAATGAAGCACCTGGTTTATACTGAAGACCACTCACACTTGTGTAACTTAACCACTTGCCTACAGGGCACTTATACCCCCTTCCTGCCAAGGCCAGTTTTCAGCTTTCAGCGCTGTTGCACTTTGAATGACAATTGCGCGGTCATGCAACACTGTACCCATATGAAATTTTTATCATTTTTTTGAGACAGATGGAGCTTTCTTTTGGTGGTATTTATTCACCTCTGGGTTTTTTTTCTAAACAAACCTAAAACAACTGAAATTTTTTTTTTAAAAAGTTTTTTCTTAGTTTTTGTTATAAAATTTTGTAAATAAGTGATTTTTCTCCTTCACTGATGTGTGCTAATGAGGCTGCAGCGATGGGCACTGATAGGCTGCACTGATAGGCACTGATGAGGAGGCACTAGTAGGTGGCACTGATGGGCATTGATAGGCATCACTGATGGGCACTGAAAGGAAGCACTCATATATGGCACTGATAGCTGGCACTGACTAGCACTGTTAGGTGGCACTGACTGCCACTGTTAGGCGGCACTTATAGGCAGCACTGACGGGCACTGATAGGCGGCACTGATGTGCACTGATAGGCAGCACTGACTGGCACTGATAGGCGGCACTGACTGACACTGATAGGTGGCACTGATTGGCAGCACTGATAGGTGGCACTGACTGGCATTGATAGGTGGCACTGATAGGTGACACTGAAAGGCAGCTCAGATGGGCACTGATATGTGGCATTGATGTGCACTGGTAGGCACTGATATGTGGCATTGATGTGGCACTGATGGGCACTGGCAGGTGGCATTGATGAGCACTGACAGCTGGCATTGATGAGCACTGCCAGGTGGCACTGCTGGGGCTACACTGATCATCAGGGCACACTGATCATCAGTGCCCTGATGATCAATGTACATGTCCCTTCCAAGGACTCCTTACTCCTTACCCTACTGGCTCTCCTCTTGAGCTGTCAGCGTGACAGTGTGTGAGGAGAGAAATGCCGATAACCAGCATTTCCCTATTTACATGCGATCAGCTGTGGTTGGACACAGTTGATCACATGACCGAGCTGACATATTCGGCTCTTTCCATTGATTGGTGATCTGCTGTGTCCGAGGTTAACAGGGGATCACCGATCACCGCGCTGCATGCTCCCGGAGCCGCACACGCGTGGTTAGAGTGCGAGGACGCCATATAATGTATAAAGGTCCTCATGTGCACCCTAAGATAAGTACCCCTGGGAGTGGCTGCATGGTAACTGGTGCCTAATTTTAATATTAGCTGGCTATCTTTGGGGCCCTTCTGTAAATTGGTGCACATAAAGCTGTCTCTTTTATTGCTGTCCACAAACAGTTGGCTGATGGGCTTTTAGGTAAGGATCAGTCTCTATTGGCATTAACTGTCTGCAGAAAGGGATTAATTTGGCAGTTCTGTTGGCAGTCTCCTGGCGTGCAACAAGTCAGGTACCATACACTTGGTGGTCAGCTGTACCAGAAGTCTCAGTTCTCAAAACCAGGTCCTTGCAAGGCTCAGCCCCAGCGTTACTCTCAATGGCTCTCTCAAGATCAGTCCCTCTGAAGGTGGGCACAGACTGGTAGGACCTGCAGGTCTGTGCCCTGCAGTCTGCATCACCAGAGGTTCTCAGTGGCTCAGTCCTCAGCCTGCATAGACACCACACACAACTCCAGCCCTTACCAGGCTCTCTCCCAGTATAGGCATGCATATCCGTGTTTCTGCATGCATTGGTTTCCCCACACTGTCTGCCCCGATCTCTCATAATTTTGTCTGTGAAAAGTTCTGGTCTCCCCTCCATTTTTGAGCAAAAAATCCTGGATATTGAATTCCACAGCTCCATTAGACTCCTTCCGCTTGTATTGTACAGTGCTCCTTTAAGGACTACATGTACCATGATCCTTGGCAGCTGCGCAGCAAGTCCTTTCTGCTGCTGTTGATTGGCTAAAGCCACTGATGCCAGAAGGGAAGTGAGAGAGAGAGTGGCACACAGCCAATGGCAGGACCCAGCTACACAAGTCCAAATCTTATGCTATCCCACAAACACTGCAATTTTATTTAAATGCCTAAAAGCTATGATTTGCCCATTTAGGCCAAAATAACAGGTTGATTTAATAGCCCACCATTTCTGCTACAGAATTAAACTTTCCTCCCCCCTTACCCACCCACTGAAGTAAACTCAAAAAGCAAATTAAGTCTGATTCCTGAAGCGAAGGACATTTCCCGTGCCCCATCTGGATGTATTTTGATCTAATGATTAATCACTGGGTGACATTATAGGAGGAAAGGGATACGTCACATGTCCACAGATTCCCACAAGTACTGATTATTTCACTTGGCTCCAGTAGGGGCAACTGGGCAGTATGAAAATATCGGCAACAGGTAAGAACACGGGTTGGCTGTTAAAGTGATATTAAAGTAATTTTTTTTTTCATAATTCAGCTACTAATAACATAACTTACATGCATTATTTTAAAATCAATTTCCTCTGCTAAACTTGCTTTTTGAAACTGTAGCCCAGCCTCTCTGCCACGTTCCCATTATATTCTCACAGGACAAACATCCATGAGGGAAGAGACAGAATGGAAATTGTCTCAAATATTTAACAATTCTTCAGCACATATCAAAGGGTCCCCAAAGCCTGTTGTTTGGCTAGGTCATTAACTGCTTTCTCTCCACCATATAACAGAAGTACAGATACAGGGCGGCATGGCTGTGCAAAATCACGTGTATATATACGTGATTTGCATTTCCGGGTAGGGGGCATGTGCGTTGCCCTACCAGTGCTGCCATCGGCGGCTACAGATGCCAATCATCGGGTCCCGGCCAGAGATTCCCCACCGGCACCCGGCGATCGCCGAGTAACACTGACAGGGGAGAGACCTGTGTGTAAACAACACAGGTCTCTTTCCGGCCAGCAATAACATGCTGCTGTGTATTGCTCTGCACAGCAGAGAAATACACAGCAGCATGTTTTTCTAGTAAAACACACACAGCATATACAGTAAAACAGCACACAGTTAACCCTTTGATCACCCCAGATGTTAACCCCTGCCTGCTTAGTGTCATTAGTACAGTATCAGTGCTTTTTATTAGCACTGATTACTGTGTTATTGTTATTGGGATGTCAGTGGCAGTTAGTTCCCCGCCAGTGTCAGAATACCCGCCGCAGTCCCGCTATAGGTTGCTGATCGCCGCCATTACTAGTATAAAAAAACCCCCAGTATATATACCGCCATATGTAGACATTATAACTTTCATGTAAACTAATTAATTGACATGTATTTGGATTTTTTTAATAAAGACATGTAGCAGAATACATTTTGGCCTAAATTTATGATGAAATTTATAGCGCAAAAAAGCGCAAAAATAAAAACGCACAGAAGATCAAATACCACCAAAAGAAAGATCTATTTGTGGGGGAAAAAAAGGACATAAATTTCATTTAAGTACAGCTTTGCATGATTGCACAATTGTCAGTTAAAGTAACACAGCGAAATATCGCAAAAAACGGCCTGGTCAGGATAAAGGATAAATCCTCTGGAGGGCAACATTCATAACACAGAATGACACATCTCTAGCACAGCCTGCTGGAGAAAGCTCAAACAGCAAGTGGTAGAGAAAATATAATATATACATTGAGAATTAGTCCTGGTGAATTAGTCCAGGTTCAGATCGACTGACTGCAGCTTCTTACAGAATCACAAAAATACAAAAAGGGAATTTAGCAAAAAAAAACTACAGCACTACATAAACATTTTCACAGCACGTATAAAAATTTACACTAGAGCTACACACTAAAATATTCACAAACCCAGTAATAAAATTGCTAGTAACAATCAGTTGCTAAACAGATTAATTAATTTCCTACTGTGTGTTATGTGACTGTAAAATTTCCTTTAGATCTACTAACAGCTATTCTGTGTAAGGGCATGTCTAGAATATAATAGTAACCAATCTCGCATGATGACACTATGCTGGATGTGACTACATGCTAATGTTTGCAACTTGTATAGCTTACATCATCATGAACCATTTAACCCAGCTATCAACTGCTACTAATGACAATTAATCACTAGGCATTTTAGTAAATTAAGGTGTTTGCAATTGCACAGTTTTCTAATAGAAGATGTTGTAAAAATGACCTAGACTATAACTGACAAATGTTTAATTAGCAATAGATTATATCTAATTTGCTTTTCTGAGCAGTGTAATTGGAATAAGCTTTGCTTCCTTTTTTTTATGGAAAGGAAAAGGTCCTCGTCTGGACATCTAAAAGTCACCGTGGTCACGTAATTGGCTCCGTTGTGGGACTGCCAGCTTGGAAATGGACCCAAAGGTGAGACAGACCTCTGCTATTATTTCTGACACACGGGAACTAACATGCTCTTCACATTTATTATACATTGGAAGACTGTTAGAAAGACATCATTTAGAAATTACAATCCGTTAGTAGGATCATCAGCTTCCACATAATTCTAAGACTAATAAGTTTTTAATGAAGGAACTTAATTCCAGCTGATTCTAGTGGTAATTTGCTTTAAATATTTCATGATGGTAGATTCTGTGTATTTTATGTACATCTGTCAGCTGTATAACAAGAGTAGGTGAGGGGGAAGGGTGTGTTCATAGAAGAGTGCTTCTGACCCCATCTTGTAATAACTAAACATGGCACTCAGGTGACATGCATTATGCAGTGGATTTGTCTCCTACATAAGCTGCTGTATTACCATTGCAAACCTTATTTAAAGGACTATTCCACTCTCACGCCATTCATTTGTGTAGCATTTAGAATATCAATTCCTTTTTATATAACATGCCTCTATTATATTTTGCTCCACATTCAAATTCAGACTAAACTGTCCAGCTAACATGACAATGACTACTAATACTGTTACTAATACTAATGACTACTAATACTGTTACCAATGCTAATTACTACTATTACTGTTACTAATACTAATGACTACTAATACTAATGACTACTAATACTGTAACTAATACTAATGACTACTAATACTGTTACTAATACTATTGACTACTAATACTATTGACTACTAATACTAATGACTACTAATACTAATGACTACTAATACTGTTACTAATACTATTGACTACTAATACTATTGACTACTAATACTAATGACTACTAATACTGTTACTAAATACTATTGACTACTAATACTAATGACTACTAATACTGTTACTAATACTATTGACTACTAATACTATTGACTACTAATACTAATGACTACTAATACTGTTACTAATACTATTGACTACTAATACTAATGACTACTAATACTAATGACTACTAATACTGTTACTAATACTATTGACTACTAATACTATTGACTACTAATACTATTGACTACTAATACTATATGACTACTAATACTGTTACTAATACTAATGACTACTAATACTAATGACTACTAATACTGTTACTAATACTAATGACTACTAATACTGTTACCAATGCTAATTACTACTATTACTGTTACTAATACTAATGACTACTAATACTAATGACTACTAATACTGTTACTAATACTAATGACTACTAATACTGTTACTAATGCTATTGACTACTAATACTATTGACTACTAATACTAATGACTACTAATACTAATGACTACTAATACTGTTACTAATACTATTGACTACTAATACTATTGACTACTAATACTATTGACTACTAATACTATTGACTACTAAAACTAATGACTACTAATACTGTTACTAATACTAATGACTACTAATACTAATGACTACTAATACTGTTACTAATACTA